AAAAATATTGAAATAACATATTTATAAGCCATCTTCAGCCCCACCAATATATAGAAATTTTAGCAAAAAGTGATAATGCCATTGAAGTGAAATTTCTTGGCCATCTGCTCCTACAGTAAATACCTCTTTAAGAAAAACATATTATGGCTGGGTGTAGTGGCTCATGTCTGTAATCCAGGCACTTTGGATGGCCGAAGTGGGAGGATCGCTTGAGCTCAGGAGTTTGAGACCAGCCCGGGCGACATAGAGAGACCCTGTTTCTATAAAAAAATTAAAAACAATTTAGCCAGATGTGGTGGTGTACACCTGTGGTCCCAGCTACTCAGGAGGCTGAGGCTTGAGGATCACTTGAGTCCAGGAGGTTGAGGCTGTAGTGAGCCATGATTATGCCACTGCACTCCAGCCTGGACTATAGAGCAAGAGGCTGTCTCAAAAAAAAAAAAAAAAACTATCAGTCTGTGTATCCATCCATCCATCCATCCGTCCATTCATCCATCCCTAGTTGCTTCCATTAAAGGATTTGAGGGATAATACAATAACATATAGTAACAACCACTTAGGTTTTTTACTGTATATTAAACACTGTCCCAAGTATTTTATTAATTTAATTCTCATAACAAATCCTATGACGTAGTTGCTATTATCTCTATTTTGTAGATGAGGAAACCAAGACACAGAAGGGTTGAACACCTTGCCCAAGGTCACACTGCTAGTATGTACTGGAATTGGGACTCAAGCAGGCTGGCTCCTGAGTCCTTGCTCTCAACCATTGTGTTTTGTGGACTGTCATGTAAAATACTAAATGAATAAAAATACTAGAAACATCTATAACTGTAGATTTGTCGTGGTTAAGAACAAGACCTTTGGGTCATTCAGACCTGGGGATTCAAACTCCATCTCAGTCTAGCTCTATGCATTTGAGCATGTTGCTTAATCTCTGAGCTCCAGCTCTTCATCACTTAAAGGTAGCTATTATTAAATAGTGGAGAAGGCAATTAAGAGGGATAATGATGATTGTGACTATGCCTGGATTTTAGCTGTGTGCTTAATGGCAGCCAAAGCAAAAGGAGAAATCTGAGTTCCATCATTCATTATGTAACACAAAGAAGCATACCTCTTTGCAAGCATGACACATTTTCCTGGTATATCATTTAAACAGAAACTTTCAGGTATAATTTTATGTAAGACATTGAACCAGAAATGAATAAGTTAAAGCAAATATGGAAGAATCAATTCTCATAACAGTACAATGTAAGGCTGTGGAAGGCTACATTAATTGGGTTCAAGTATATTGCTTTTCATGTTTTTTGTTTTTTGTTTTGAGACGGAGTCTCTCTGTGATGCCCAGGCTGGAGTGCAATGGCGCCATCTCAGCTCACTGCAACCTCCGCTTCCTGGATTCAAGTGATTCTCCTCCCTCAGCCTCCCAAGTAGCTGGGGCTACAGGCGTGTGCCACCACACCTGGCTAATTTTTGTATTTTTACTAGAGATGGGGTTTCACCATGCTGGCCAGCCTGGTCTCCAACTCCTGACCTCAAGTGATCCGCCCGCCTTGGCCTCCCAAAGTGCTGGGATTATAGGTGTGAGCCGCCTCACCTGGCCCTTTCTAGTGTTTTTGATTTAAGGAAAAGGCCTAGAATATTTAGAATGGAATCTGTGAATAGCATGTTCAATAGACAGACTTCCCTAAACACAGTCTTCCTCAGATAAGCTTTTGAAAAGAGCTGCTTTATAGAAAATCTCAAGTTTTTCTGTCTGATGGATCCCACAACTGCCAGCATCCCATTAGCTAATGGAGGGAAATCCATGGGTTTGGCTGTTAGCAGGTGGAAGGGGAAAAGGTGGATCCAAATTCTTATTTGAATGGATGGTGTTTTGGTCAGGTTCTTCGGTAGTAAAGAACAGAGGTTTACATGTCTGTGGCTGAAATAAGATGATAAAGACTCATATGAAATGATTAAAGGGGTGGGCTCACAGAGAAATTCAAACATGAACTGTAACTGGGTTGCACTTCACAGGCACCGAATATGGAGGACATTTTGGATTCCAGATGGCTCCATAGACTGCTCTGGCAGAGTGTCTGTAATCTCCATTTAGCACTGTATCCCCAGCATCTAGAATAATGCTTAACATATAGTAGACCCCAGTAATTACCTGTTGAGCAAATAAATAAAAGGAAATAGTAAATCTTCACCCTAGAGTCTTTATCAAAATGGAGAAGTGAGTGGCTTCAAGTACGTGATTGATACAGCTGCTGTTTGCCGGCTATGCTCTTAGTCGTTTACATATATTATTATTGGAATATGTTCAGTCCTGTGAAGGGGTGATGGTACCCTCATTTTACTGGTGATAGAATTTGAATTCACAGATTATGACTTGCCCAAGTTCATGCAGAATACTAATTTGGAGAGTTCAGGTCTGCTTGACTCTAAACCTTGTTCTGGTAACTGATGCCGTATATATTGAAAGTACAAACAGGGTGGTAAACAGAAGTAAACCCACATTACCAGATATTAAGAAAGCATCTTAACAGCTGTTTTGAGGGATTTCATCAGAAATACTGTAATATCAGCCTGGTCTGAAATATCAGAAATCATTTTTCTCTGGCTTTACTTTCCAGTGCTAGGGAACTTCCACCAAACAAGGTAAGCAAAATCTTATATTACCAAGTTACTAGTCAGCTTTTAAAGTAAAGATTGGCCACTAGCTTTCCATTTCTCCAACTAAAAAGAAATTGTAGGGACTGTTTTACAGGGCATGGAGCAGATGACTAATTGTCTTATAGGATCGTTTTAGTTTTGAAATAACTATAATCTAGGATAAGTAACTCATTAGATTGATTAAAGTGTATGTGTAAGTGTCATATGGTTGAGGACTTTGTCATCCTTGTTTGAAACCATCTAGGGGCTCTGCATGGTGGTTCATGTCTGTAGTCCCAGCATTTTGAATCCAAGCACTAGGATTACTTGAGCCCAGGAGTTTGAGACTAGCCTGAACAACATAGTGAAACTCCATCTCTACAAAAAATAGAAAAATTTGCCAGGCATGGTGATGTGCACCTGTAGTCCCAGCTACTCAGGAAGCTGAGGTGCGAGGATCACCTAAGCTTAGGGAGGTCGAGGCTACAGTGAGCAGTGATCATGCCACTGCACTTGAGCCTGGGCAACAGAGGGAGACCCTATCTTAAAAAAAAAAAAAAAAAAAAAAGTAGGATTAAGGTTTTGTTTTGCTGGTTTATGCTTCTCTACCAAATTATGGTTAAATGCATTATGTCTCAATGAGATAATATTGACATTGACCTTATAAAACTGACATTTTTTTTATAGGTATCAGTATTATCTGCAACTGAAGAAAGATATCTTGGAAGGAAGTATTCCTTGTACCTTAGAACAAGCAATTCAGCTAGCAGGCTTAGCTGTTCAAGGTAAATAAGATCGATTCATAATGAAATAGTTCTATCAGATTAAAATGTGTTGCAACAAAATAGCAAGGGATTTTTAAGTTAACTGACTGTCTATATACATCTTTAGTAGTATTTATATATTAGCGAAGTATTCTGTTATAATGATGATTGTGACTATGCCTGGATTTTAGCTGTGAGCTTAATGGCAGCCAAAGCAAAAGAAGAAATCTGAGTTCCATCATTCATTATGTAACACAAAGAAGCATACCTCTTGCAAGCATGACACATTTTCCTGGTATATCATTTAAACAGAAACTTTCGGGTATAATTTTATGTAAGACATTGAACCAGAAATGAATAAGTTAAAGCAAATATGGAAGAATCAATTCTCATAACAGTACAATGTAAGGCTGTGGAAGGCTACATTAATTGGGTTCAAGTATATTGCTTTTCATGTTTTTTGTTTTTTGTTTTGAGACGGAGTCTCTCTGTGATGCCCAGGCTGGAGTGCAATGGCGCCATCTCAGCTCACTGCAACCTCCGCTTCCTGGATTCAAGTGATTCTCCTCCCTCAGCCTCCCAAGTAGCTGGGGCTACAGGCGTGTGCCACCACACCTGGCTAATTTTTGTATTTTTACTAGAGATGGGGTTTCACCATGCTGGCCAGCCTGGTCTCCAACTCCTGACCTCAAGTGATCCGCCCGCCTTGGCCTCCCAAAGTGCTGGGATTATAGGTGTGAGCCGCCTCACCTGGCCCTTTCTAGTGTTTTTGATTTAAGGAAAAGGCCTAGAATATTTAGAATGGAATCTGTGAATAGCATGTTCAATAGACAGACTTCCCTAAACACAGTCTTCCTCAGATAAGCTTTTGAAAAGAGCTGCTTTATAGAAAATCTCAAGTTTTTCTGTCTGATGGATCCCACAACTGCCAGCATCCCATTAGCTAATGGAGGGAAATCCATGGGTTTGGCTGTTAGCAGGTGGAAGGGGAAAAGGTGGATCCAAATTCTTATTTGAATGGATGGTGTTTTGGTCAGGTTCTTCGGTAGTAAAGAACAGAGGTTTACATGTCTGTGGCTGAAATAAGATGATAAAGACTCATATGAAATGATTAAAGGGGTGGGCTCACAGAGAAATTCAAACATGAACTGTAACTGGGTTGCACTTCACAGGCACCGAATATGGAGGACATTTTGGATTCCAGATGGCTCCATAGACTGCTCTGGCAGAGTGTCTGTAATCTCCATTTAGCACTGTATCCCCAGCATCTAGAATAATGCTTAACATATAGTAGACCCCAGTAATTACCTGTTGAGCAAATAAATAAAAGGAAATAGTAAATCTTCACCCTAGAGTCTTTATCAAAATGGAGAAGTGAGTGGCTTCAAGTACGTGATTGATACAGCTGCTGTTTGCCGGCTATGCTCTTAGTCGTTTACATATATTATTATTGGAATATGTTCAGTCCTGTGAAGGGGTGATGGTACCCTCATTTTACTGGTGATAGAATTTGAATTCACAGATTATGACTTGCCCAAGTTCATGCAGAATACTAATTTGGAGAGTTCAGGTCTGCTTGACTCTAAACCTTGTTCTGGTAACTGATGCCGTATATATTGAAAGTACAAACAGGGTGGTAAACAGAAGTAAACCCACATTACCAGATATTAAGAAAGCATCTTAACAGCTGTTTTGAGGGATTTCATCAGAAATACTGTAATATCAGCCTGGTCTGAAATATCAGAAATCATTTTTCTCTGGCTTTACTTTCCAGTGCTAGGGAACTTCCACCAAACAAGGTAAGCAAAATCTTATATTACCAAGTTACTAGTCAGCTTTTAAAGTAAAGATTGGCCACTAGCTTTCCATTTCTCCAACTAAAAAGAAATTGTAGGGACTGTTTTACAGGGCATGGAGCAGATGACTAATTGTCTTGTAGGATCGTTTTAGTTTTGAAATAACTATAATCTAGGAAAAGTAACTCATAAGATTGATTAAAGTGTATGTGTAAGTGTCATATGGTTGAGGACTTTGTCATCCTTGTTTGAAACCATCTAGGGGCTCTGCATGGTGGTTCATGTCTGTAGTCCCAGCATTTTGAATCCAAGCACTAGGATTACTTGAGCCCAGGAGTTTGAGACTAGCCTGAACAACATAGTGAAACTCCATCTCTACAAAAAATAGAAAAATTTGCCAGGCATGGTGATGTGCACCTGTAGTCCCAGCTACTCAGGAAGCTGAGGTGCGAGGATCACCTAAGCTTAGGGAGGTCGAGGCTACAGTGAGCAGTGATCATGCCACTGCACTTGAGCCTGGGCAACAGAGGGAGACCCTATCTTAAAAAAAAAAAAAAAAAAAAAGTAGGATTAAGGTTTTGTTTTGCTGGTTTATGCTTCTCTACCAAATTATGGTTAAATGCATTATGTCTCAATGAGATAATATTGACATTGGCCTTATAAAACTGACATTTTTTTTATAGGTATCAGTATTATCTGCAACTGAAGAAAGATATCTTGGAAGGAAGTATTCCTTGTACCTTAGAACAAGCAATTCAGCTAGCAGGTTTAGCTGTTCAAGGTAAATAAGATCAATTCATAATGAAATAGTTCTATCAGATTAAAATGTGTTGCAACAAAATAGCAAGGGATTTTTAAGTTAACTGACTGTCTATATACATCTTTAGTAGTATTTATATATTAGCGAAGTATTCTGTTATCTAAGGGGCTTCCTTTTGGGAAAAAATGAACTTGGAATACCTCAATGAAATATGAGACTTCTGGACGTTAATCATGTTATATGTCAACAGAGCAAACAGTACAATAAATAGAAGTATACACACACATATATTCAATCACATGCCAAATGACGTTTCGGTCAACAAAAGACCTCATATAGGACAGTGGTCCCATAAAATTATAACACTGTATTTTTAGTGTACCTTTTCTGTGTTTAGATACACAAATATCATTGTGTTACAATTGCCTACAGTATTCAGTACAGTAACATGCGGTATAGGCTTCTATGAGCAATAGTCTATACAGTAT